GCTCGCCTATGCCACATCACGTGCGTTGGTGCACACGTTGTGTACCATGCTGACCTACTTTTGGAAGACAGTCAAGCCTGGTTTCTTCCGTGGCTGCAGCCATCAAGGTTTCTTCCGTGTCTGCCTGCTTATGTTGTTCACTGAGTGCAGTGAAACAGATTTCGTCCACAATTGGTCATCCACAGTTAACCTACTATGCGATCCGGGCTAAGTTAGGAACCGCAGTAGTGTACTCGGCGGAGGCTGACCGAAGTAGTTCTGAACCGTGCACAATGATTTCACTCATCCACGAAACGGGCAGACACAGATCCAGGACGATAGTTCTGCTACCACTTCGGAGACTGCTCATACAACGTCAGCCGTGATTGTGCAATCTTAAGTTCAACCAAAATCATGTGCAAAGAATTTCATGATTTTGAGGGACTGCGCACCATTGCCGAGCCCCAATAGGACGAAATGCTTCTGGCGCTTTTCCGGACAAGGCTGTGCTATGTAGCTTGTGAGCAGCCTAGAGGAACACATTGCAATTACAATTTTGAGACAATTAGGAGTTCCTTCACAAAACAAGAGGCATGATACAAGAATCTTGGATAAAGTAATCCCGATATTATTACTCAGTTTAAATATCACGGAATGTTGATTTCCTCTATTTAGTGCTACATCAATGAAGTTTCGGTTAGCTGAGGTTCTGTTTTTGGATATTCTGTAGCGCTGCTTGCCATGCATATTTTCTCTGTCAAATCGTTCCGAAATCACGCTTGTTTCACTTTGCGCACCATCTACATTACAAAATGCATCCTGTGTGACATTCCGTGATAACTGTCCTGTTGCCTATCTCATCCGTCCGTTGAAAGCGGAGAGAGTGATTGCCAGTCTCGACTAAGACTGTTAGTATTTCGAGCACGGTAGACTGAACTACACAACGAACAACTGTCAGTGTCAAAAGAGTAAGAAGGAACAACATGTCGGTAGGATTATCTGTATTCAGCTATTCCGAATATTTTGGTTAGCCGTTTACATGGACTTAGTGGATTGGATAGATTGCATACAGAGGTCATCAGGGTGTACTATACACCACCTGCATTCCTATAGCCGCTACATGAATGACACTTTTGCCGTTGTACACACTGCCGAGCAAACAGAACAACTACTTTTGACGCTAAGCAATTGTTACCCCGCAATCGAATTTACAGTTGAGAACGAATCTTACCACGTTTTCAAGTTTAGATGTTCGCTTGGAAGAAACCTAAATAGTACACTACCCTATGTTTGACATTTAATGTCCTGTGAATTACAAATAAGCTCCGGTTCGTAGCATCTTTGCGATAGCTAGCCAGCTATTCTCAGAGGAAGCGGTTAAATGTGAGCTGCAACGCGTCTCCTCTACAGTACGCGAAAATGGACGTGCGGAGAAGTTCCTAGCAAAGCGATCAAACGGGAACGCGAAAACCGGAACGAACGAGTGCTTGACGTCCCTAAGAAAAATGTGTTCATAACGATGCCATTCAAAGGGACTAAAGTGGCATGATATTCAGATATCGCCTCCGTCAATCAATAACGCAGGTAGTACGCTGCTGAGCATGTGGTTTTGCACCAAATTAAGCAGTTGCTTTTTAAATGCACCCTTGACAAGTCAGACACTTGCGCTTCACTATAGGCGCTGCCTGCGTACAGTGCTGTTGCAAGCACTGGAAATGAATTGTAAGCGTGTGTTGTGGAGCTGATGTCATCGTCCAACATGGCATCAGGATCTTGCTGCTTTCTGATGACAACATGTATCGGCGTAGCTCGCACGTCGGCAGCAATGTATGTCACTGCGTGCAAATATGGCTGCGTGTTTGGCTGCCTGTAAGAGGTATCCATGTCAGGGTTAGCGTGCGCGTCGCTAGCGGTAAATTATTGACAACCAGCTGCGAGGACGTCAGTAAATACGAGAACAGCGTTTGGCTAGTTAAATATAAGGAATAAAACGTGGTTGTTTTTCGCCAATATCTGATGACTTCGAACTTTTACTCGTTACTTTCCCAATTTTTCGTAATCTATGTTAGGTCTTCTGAGCGGAGGACATGCGAGCTAAAATTTATTATTCCATGATGTTTTCGCATTGCCATTGCTGGCTTAACTTTTGCCTCATTTTGCCTGCCGCCTTTATTTTGGACATTCCTTGTCTTTGATGTTTTCTAATACCAAACTTCCGCTTACTCGTAAGCTCACTTCCAAATTTGAAATAATTGCGCTACGTACGTGAAGCTCTGTTACTCCCATTAATGTCATATTTATCCGTATTATCCAGTTAGGACTGGTATGCTTAAGGATCGCTAAATTTCCTGTTCCAATCAGAACAAATTGTATGGGAGCTAGGAATTTGACGACAGTGACACACTGAACTACCATCAGATGTACGTCTGGAGTGGTCCATTCCATACCACTCTTAGCGAAGAACACAAAACCAGTGACGATTTTTTTCGATCCCACCTGACTGAATTCACAAACCGGAATGCACTGCAACTCCCAAGCCGCCCAAGGAGAAACAGAAAAAATGCCACAAGTAGTCTCTGAATAGTGGAATATAGATACTATGTGCGACAGCCCGTGACTATCCCTGGCGGTATGACCCAAATATAGGCAAGAAAGATTGTAAGCCAGAACCTCGGGAGTCTGCGTAAATTCGCAGGAAACTTTTATGTCCCTACGCGCTTCTGATATCCGTGACTCTCATATGCAAATGGCCTTCACAGTAAATTATCCGAGCTTCCCACCATTTAAGTCTCAGTGACTGCCACCTCATAATGGTACCCGAGACTTGGCTGCGCGACTTGTATACTGACTCCGATATCCCCTTACCTGATATTTAAATCTTACAAAACGACCGACCAACAAAACCAGGTTGTGCATTTCTTTACTCTCATTCCGACCTATCGGTCGACTGCAGGAACCATCCAGGGCCTCAAGCCGTAAACTCGTTATGGTGATGTCTACATTTAATAAAATGTTAATATATTTATATTGGCCAAGGTTGGCCACCAACCATTGTCCTCTAGAAATGGACTAGACTCTAGTATTCTCTATGAAGAACTTATTCACACCACCTTAGAGAAAAGTGCTCCTGATAAGGGATATAAATATGGACGGCTAGAAATTGCAACCACCATCTGTAAGCAGTCCAGAGCGGAAACACATAAGCTAATCGCTGATTCACTATGCACAACCAGGTTGCTATTACAATGCGTTTCATGACATGAACCAACCGGGCATCTTGGTCTTGTTTTACACAGAAAGAACCCATGTTCGACGCACTCACTGAGCCGCAGAAACAATACAACACTAGTGTTCCGTTGCATTTGCACGCAGAATATCTTAATGAGAGCACCAAAGAATCTCACGTCAGGAATAACTATCCTTGGTGTCCGTTCTCATTGGTGTAACAGGCTGGTCTTTCCTATCCGAATATTCCACTGAGTAGGCCCAAAGAAAGTCACCAACAGATTCATTATCCAGGGTTTTTCTGTTCCTTGGGAACACCACTCGTATTTGTATGTTATTGAAAGATTCGGCTTGGCTCGACCACATTGTCTCTATGGGTGAAGATACCTGGATGTTCTGTACATCACAAAGGAACCATCGTGTCAAAATCGTGTTAGGTTAAGATATCAACAGGACCACATAGCAAGTGTTTGCTCTAACCTCAACCTGCGTTAGTAACACATGAACGAGCTGCTTAGGGTTAAGCGCGTAATTCATGCTTTACTCACAGACTG